TCACCAGCAAGCATAGCTCTTGATGCAGCCACAACATGCTCACGCGTGTTTTCTGGTGGTCCAATAAGTGAAGACTAAAACTGGGCAGCGTTCATAAACACAAAGATTTGGAACAAGTGGGGCAAAAAAGTAGGCAGCAGAAATCTTGACTATAGAACCTCGAGCACTTCCTCAAACTACCAAACATACCTTTTCACTCTGCTTGAGTTGATAGTGGAAGCTGCGACTCAGTAATCGCCGTCGCATTTCAAATTCACAACTAGCCATATGGGGAATTTCGAGGAGCATGGAACAGATTAAGTAGACACATTCCATCAACTCCACGTTGATATGCATATGATATGGTACTTGACGCTGCCTTTCTTGCTTTTCCTAAATATACGACATCAAATCCACAATACTGCAAAAATCTACAAAGTTGTGAAGAAAAAAGATAAGCATTATAAACACGTCACAAACAACTACTTACCTGTTCAGCTGTTCTCTCATGCTGTCTCATGGCAACAGCTTGCGCTAGAAGTTCTTTAGCTCGCTGAGTATTCTGGATTTCGGAGAGGCCCTGATGAGCCTCTTTGATGAAACCATGACGGAATGCGCAAAGACCAAGCTGGCAGATGGTACGATTGTACAGAATCTGCAAGATCAATCGTTATAGGAAGCGCACACGATAAATGTCGAAACGTACCTGAGTATCCGTATCAGAATGATCGACAATGGCCTGAAGGTGACTCATTAGCATCAAATCTCTAGCACGATGCCATTCATCGTGTAGGGCGAGCCAGTAGACATGACAAAGCATCGCTCTTTGTCTAAGTCGTTTCTCTTCGTCAAGTGCGTAAATCTTCTTGCAAAGTCGATCCATTATTTCCCCGACAGCCTCGTCCCCTTCATAATTGTCTTGATACTAAATAACTAGGATGACAATGAAATTATGAAACGTAAAACCCCGAAAGAATAAATCGCTGAGAACAGAAAAATGTTTCCACTGCATAGTGCAGCTTATATTTGATTGTA